TGATCAGTTAATATTGAGCGTTCCGGATCTTTCTCAAAACCTGTTCTGCAAATACGTCAGGTGCCAATTTGCTGTGGTAAACAAGATGTCAACGATTAAAGAACATAGTAGCGTGGTACCACGCTGCATAAAAAGATTTCTATCACCCCCTTCATTAAAAAATGAGTAAAATTTACTGGTAGAGATCGATCAGCATGCTCAGTCTTTGTCTCTTGTCATCTCCACTGAAAATCGCAAATTCATTGCTTGCGTGTTCAAATGAACTCAGAATGAACTAGGCTGCTGGTCTGTTTATTGGTATAATGATAACGTGGGGGTAAAGTATATGTTCCAGTCATAATAAGAGAGCAGCTCAAATTGCATGTTAAGAAAAGTAGGGCAAAAAGAAAAGGGAGAAGAAAGAGAAAGTGAAATGCTGCGATTATTGGCTAACTGATAAAATGTATGACTTCAGCCCTTCTGGTCTACGACGAGGAGCACCTGGCTGCATTCCTCCCTATTGAGTCATCTTTGATTTGGCTCAGTTCAACATAGAAAATTCTTAACAACAGGAACTATCTTGACCACCCAAAAATCAGCACGAGTAGAATTTGAGGGATATAATAATTCCTAAGTAGAATTTTCCACTTTGCTCGAAATACTTTCCTCTTTCATGGTAAAATTCTTGATTATTCAGATTTCGTTGACAATAATGAGCACTGGTTTGGCTTCCGAATACAGGGAAACGAAAAAGAATTGCAATCAGAATAATTTGTTATCTTTGGGAAGCTCATGAGCTCGAAAATCAAGTAAACTGAGCTACTGAAAGCGACGCGAAATTACCAGAGATTCCCGGAAAGACTCAGAAAACAAAAGAGATTACCGTGAAAGGTCACAAATAAAATCCATACACAAAAGACGTAACGGGCTCCCGTCGAATGATCAGCAACAGTGACGAAAAATTGCGTGTCGTCATTTGTGGCGGATGGTGTGATGACACACAACTTATTACACCTGACGACTAACACGGTACGGTAGATCCTGAGGGAAGTTCTCCGAACGTTTTGGGTAAATGTGCTCTTCAATTAGCTCTCTATAAATAGGCTTAAGATGTTTTTAAAAGTTTTCGAGTAAAGACAGAGGGATTTCTGGCAGGAAGCTGTCAGAGAGGCAGGCTACAATGCTCGGCAGAGCTCCTGATGCATGCACTGAAAGGGGGTGGAATAAATTCATCTCTCGCCAAGTTTCCTGCTGGAGGACAGAGTGTTTCTTCTGAGCCGATCAGTTTTTCTTCCCGAAAATTCATGCCAAGGCCATACCATTCGCACAGCTGCGGACCTTTAAGGACAGCTGAGCGCTGTTCTTCGATAACGTATTGTCTGTTCTCATCAGCATTTTCTATCAAAACATCTCTATGATTTCTTGGAAAGCACAAGTGGTGGTGGGGAACTGAGCTCTTCGCTTATAGGGACACAGTTGTTGAGTAGTCTGCTGGAACCAAGCTTTTCGTCTTCCAAGACCAATAATCCCTTCTTAGTCGTTTATTTCATTTGCAATTCCAAGTTATGAGCAAATTTTATTAGTCAGGTGATTGATGTGACCAATAGGGCCCTTGCCCTCTTTTAGCTTACGGAACGCGCCATGCATTTCACCCATACCTGAATCCGAGATGACATTTGACTGGGATTCTTTCGTGTACGCTGGATTCACCCTTTCTACAGATGACGCACGTAGTCTTTTAGACTTGATTAGTCCCGTTTCCAAATCAGTGACCAGGATGACATTCGGCAGGTCGGAGGCTCGGGCAGGCATCAATCCTGGATCCGCCTTCGAACTAGGGGTTTGACAATGCGAAACTTGGCACTACACCTGCTCCATCCTTGTCCTATGTGACGTATATACTTACTTTTGCCATTAAGAGGCGCTGTAGGCATCCTGAAGAATCAAATACCTATTCATCCGAATTCTTCAACCTTTCAAAAGACTTATGAAGTTGCCCTTCCAACAGGTGACTCTTACCAATAAGTAAAGCATTTACTTCATCATTATAAACATGGCATATACAAAAGTTATATTATCGAGTTCATCAGGTCCGGCAGATTCCTTAGAGTTTACTCGATATCGATTTATTTTTCTCGAGGAAACTGCTCAGGTCTTTCCACCAGCTTGGTCGAGGATTCGTATGCTTCCGGAACTCACGCATTAGATGATCGTAGGGCCTAAATCCACTTCGTCATAAGAGCACACCTATAAAAATGCTTCATGAACGCTTACCTTCCGTCACTGGAGCCTAGTGCCGAATTCAGTACAAAATCTGGTGGCGCTATAGCATCTACCAAAGCAACGGCGTCCGGATAGATTTCCTTCTCAAGTCGTCGAATGCTTAATCGAATAGTTTCTCCAAATGTTGATCCTGTGCAGTAGCCACCTGAATTGGACGTTTTTCACACATGGAGAATGAGCCCTGGTTAGATGTTGAGGTGTCAACTTGGGCCGTTACGAAAATTCCTGTCCCGAAGTAAGGGACTCAATCGAACCTCCTTACGTGGGGACAGGAAGATTTAGACGGTCTATGCTTAAGCAGAGATTTTAATTTCCACTCATAGCATCGAGTGAACTTATAGAATTCTTTTGTCTAGCTAGACTTCTAAGTACATTTGACAAAGCTGCTCTAGAAAGTGTTAAAAGCTCCAAACTGACCCATGTAGCAAGTGGCTAAATGTTTCTCAACAGAAAACAAGCTATACAGTGCAACCAGACGGTAGAGCACCTAAAAGTGTAGAGTAAGCAGAGAGGTCGTCTTGCGATTCCATGCTTATGTTGGATCTATATTTTTTCAGAGAACATGAAATTTATGGCTTCTGGTTGGGCTGTTGTAATGACGGTGGGCGGGGAGGGAGGGAGGGGAGAAGAGGAGGGGCGAAGGGCGAAGGGGAGGAGGGGGGGGGGGGGG